AATTTGAACCCAAATTGTTCTACTCTAAAACCTACATTCTTTCTAGTGACCTTCACTTGAACAGCAGATGAATATCACTGTCTGTCAGATGTCCACAGATGCTTCATCTAGGAAATTTGAGATGGAGGAAATGTGTTCAAATTAAGTATTTATTCAGAACCTAATATGCTTAAAACACCATGATTGGCACTGCATAAAGGTAAACAAGTTCTAGGTTGATTTGTAACTCACTGTGAGGATTTGTCTTGGGCATGTGCTGATAGAAATTCAGAGGCAGTTCTATGAAAGCCCAGAGGAGGGAGCCCATCAGGCTGGTGGGGGACCGTGATATTAGTGGAAGGTTCTCTAAGCAGGTGACTGAATTGGCCTTTGGAGCTTTCTAATCTTGGAAGAAAGACATAAACAGGACACCAAGAACAATGCAAGATCCTATCTCATTTAGTTCCAGATTCTGCCAACAGACAATGCTTGCACTAGGAATTCTGAGATGAGAATAATTTATCTGGCCTGGAGTAAAGTAAATAGGGCTCTGGCTCTGGAAGAGAGCTGAGAGAAAAAGTCCAGAGGGCCATAAAATGTAGTTATGTGGAGAGGAAGATGGGGGTGCTCATTTATTGAGCACCTACTTTGTCATGTAGCCTACTAATTTAATTTCAGTGACAACTCCACGGTAAGGTCACTGAGACTCAGAACAATTAAGCATCTTGCAGGAGGTCACAGGAACCCAGGTCATGGTGACTCTGAAATGTGTACTTTGAACCACCCTCACCCATTCCTATCCTTCGAAATCTTTAGGGATCTGCTTTTACGTTACTTTTCTAACTTCCAGTAGAATCCTATACCCTCCCTGGCCACATACATTGCTTTCACTTACTACCAAACAAAATAAGTGTTGAAGAACTAAACCCTAAGAATGAAGGAACAGGGTAAAAAAGATAAAAATAAAGAACAAAAATAAATCCCCAGGAACTTAATGAAGTCCCGGAGGAGTGGAAGTGGGTGGGTGGGACCCAAATCGGGACAACTAGGTAGGTACTGTTGCCACACTTCAAAAGGCTTCATTGTAGCTCAGATTTGGAAGTGATCTTAGGAATCTTCAATTCCTTCCCTTTCACTTTACATAAAAGCAAAGTGAGATCCAAAGATCTCACACAAATCAGAATTAAACGGGGAGTCACCTCTTTTTTTTTCTTTCTTTCCTTTCTCTCTCTCTTTTTTTTTTCCCAAAATTGAACCCAGTAGCACTTAACCACTGAGCTACATTCCCAGCCCATTTTATTTTATTTTTTATTCTGAGACAGGGTCTCACTAAGTTGTTTAAGGTCTCCTTAAGTTGCTGAGGCTGGCTTTGAACTTGCAATCCTTCTGCCTCAGCCTCTGGAGCTGCTGGGATTACAGGAGTGTGCCACTTTGCCCAGCAATCACCTGACTCTCAAATTGTTGTTCCTCTACTACAAATGATGAAAAGACAGGGAATAAATCCACAAAAGATCAATTGATGCATTTTTTTAAAAAAAAGGATAGCAGCACATGGTAGATTATATTATACATCAATACATCAAAAGGTTATGCATAAGTCATTGATTAGAAAGAGTTACCAGCCAAAGGTTAGGATTCATCTAAGTCTTTGCACCTCAACCAACAATAAATAAATACAAAAATACATACATAAAGAATAAAAGTGGCTTCCAAGAGAGGAGGGGCCAAACAGTATAATTGCAGGGCCAATGAATAAATGAGCAAAAGGCTTTGCCAAATGCTCCCTGTATATTTAGGGAATGAGGCCAAAGAGCTCAATGACTTATAAGATATGGCTGTTTCGTCCCTTCCTTTTTCTGCCGCCATAAGTTGTCCTCCTCAATATTTGTTTGTCTATAAGAACCTAAAGGGAACTTGTTCTTGACAGGACTAGAATAAATGATATTTAAATGCCAGTTCTATACTTCAGAGTATCATGTCCCAAAGCATATTCTGCCCTCAAAATAAATTTGGGAAGTAGATATTCCTATTTGAAAGGTAAGGAAATGGAAGGGTAGAGAAGTGAAAGTACTCCTTCAAGAGCAGGATTCGGGTATGTGCTGGAGTTAGACTGGAGTAGAACTGAGAGTGTCTGTTTTCCCTCCTGGCTGGAGAGTTGAAATCCCCAAAGACTAGGAATATTCAAAACTATTGAACACAATGACTTAAAAGCCCCCTTGAAGATACACAGTTTCCAAATGCTTAATGGCCACCACTGAAGTCCATCTGTACTCATGTTCCAACTTCTATTGGAGAGGAAGGGAAATTCTGAATGACATAATTTATGCAGTTCAACATAGCTCTTTTCTTATTGAATGACAACCTTGTGACTTCTATAGGTGACTGGAGTAGCAGGAAGTCAAAGATTTGCTAAGATGAATTCCTTATCCATATCATTGTGCACCCAGGGTCCTTTATTCTTCTAGCCAGCCTCTGAAAACTCACTTAGAATATCCTGTGATTTTTCATTTTATAGCTGGAGAACTAGAGTTCAAACTTCTTAGCTTAAGATTACATAGCAAGTTCTTCCCAAACCAGAAAGATCTGAATCTGGGATCTCCTGTTTTCAGAATGGTTCCATGATTCCCACAGAGCACATTCCAGCTTTTATAGAGGGGATGTCTGAGTCGTTTGCTCATCTTACAAATCTTTATACTTTTACCAGCACACATTCTCCACTGGTTTTCTCTCTCCCTGAAGCATGTAGCAATGATCCCAGACCTCAGGAAGGATCTGGAGCAGCCCTGAGGACAGGCGCACCATAGGGATGAAAGTCACAAATTAGTGGCATTAATTTCACATCAGGTTTCCAGTATGCTATCCACATGCAAACCTCACACTGCATATTTTTATCACTACATTATTTGGACAGACTGGTAACTAATAATTTGTAATCCACCACTGCTAACTCATTTTGACTTATTAAACACTTTGGAGGGGGAAAAAAAAAAGAAGAAGGAAACTGTTTTGCCATAAGGGGGAGCTTTTGAGTTCCATAAAGAGGGGGGAAAAAGAAAAAAAAATATATTACATATATGTCCCAGTTCAAAACAGATTTACAAAACAGCAAATGGCTAGATCCTTTTCTGTGACTTGGACAATAAAAGAGAACCAGAATTGCTTAGGTTGAAATTAGGTAAACTAATATTTTGCTCTCGTTGTTTGTATAATATTAAAATAATTCTTAACCACCAACAGAATATTTTTAAGAGTATTCAGGGGAATTCAGAGACCCAGTTTCGCTGGGTCTACAGCTTCTGAAAGACAGATGTCCCGGAAAATGCCTTTCCCTCTGCTGTCTTCTGATGACTCCATGATAAATTTGGGAACAACTAGGGTTAGCTACAACTGGCCACTCTTGGGGCTCCAGGAAGAGGGGGGCCCTTCATCACTACACTGTGGAACTTCAAGAAAATTCTGAGAGGGAGAAGGAAAAAGGGAGGAAAGACTGAGAAGGTAAGAGAGAAGGGAAAGAGGAAGAGAGAGGAATGGAACAGGGGGCGAGGGAGAGAGAGAGAGAGAGAGAGAGAGAGAGAGAGAGAGAGAGAGAGAGAGAGGGAAGAGGAAGGTGGGGGAGGGAGGGAGAGAGAAAAGCGATAGAAAGAAAAAGGGAGGAGAAGAGAAAGATGGAGAGAATATTTTTAAAATTTGAGAATCAAGTTTCAAGAGTCTTTATGTACTATGGAAAAGGATGAGGTTTACCAGCAAAGTGCAAAGGGGATCCTGAGAGAAGAGATAGGTTTTTCTCCCGCCAGGAGGGGAAAAAAAAAATCAGGGGAGCGGGCGGAGGAGGAGTGATGAAGAAGGGGGGGAAAAAAAAGCAAAACAAAACAAAAACAGGAATGTGTGTTTTGAACAGGAATGAGGAGAGCTGGGAGGACCATAAGGGGGTGTGTACAGAATTTATTAAATTGTTACTTTAAGATTGTCTTCTTTAAAAAAAAAAAAAAAGAGGGGGGGTGGAGAAGCGGGAGCGAAGGAAAGGAGGCAAATGGCAAAGTGGAGGAAGGCTGGGTAGCTCGGCCTCTCCAAACCGATTGATTAGTCATGATCCCCGCAGTTTTAACAGGGACTCATTCAATTGAGAAGGTGGAGCGCTCGGGAGCAGATTAGCTTACGCTTGTTTACTCATCTTCTGAGGGATTTTTTCCCCCTCTTTCCTTTCATTTTGTGAAGAAGGAGGGAGGGGAGGGGGGACTGGGGGGGGAGAAGGGGGCTGTGGCTTGTGTTATAAAGGACGCAAAAAATAAATAAATTAGAGCATCTTTTGGGGGGAGGGAATTCAGCGGATCAGTGTCTTAGAGGAGCTTTTTTTTTTTTTAGAGCGAGAAATCATATAAAATAAAATGAAATAAAACAAGAAGGAAGGTAACCAGCTGTCAGAGGGGGAAATAAGGCAGATAAAGGAGCGGGGAGAGAAATTAATTGCCAACCAGGAGGAGTTGGACTGTATTTTTCAAAGGTGGGGGGAGTGGAGCACACACCTTGAGGAGGAAAGCGAGAAAGAAAAGAAAAAAGCAAGTGGAAGGGGGGGCTCGCCCAAGAAGGGTGAACAAGAAGAAAGTCGAGGCGCGGAGGCTCCCAAAGCTGGCAGCTCCGGGCGGCGGTGCAGGGGCGAAGGGGGGGCG